CTTACCGTCAGCGAACTCAAAGCTCTCGCTAAAAGTCGTGGATTGGTGGGTTATTCTCGCATGAGGAAACCCCAACTGCTCACCTTGCTCGACATGAAATATGTCAAACCCCCTACTTTCGGGAGCTCAAACTCCGAGCTAAAGAACGTGGATTGAAGGGTTATTCTCACATGAGGAAAGCCCAACTGCTCACCTTGCTGGAAGACACCGAGCCGGTCGAGTTGAGATTCGTGCCGACAGACCATGCTGTGGGTAAGTATCTGAGAGGCTGGAAAATGATCGTTCAGTCTAACATCGACGTCAACAGCGTCAAACCTGTGATCGCGGACAAAGTCGAAGAAGAGTTAGATGATTTAAAACATATCAAATACCAGTTGACCATCCACATGTCGCTCAACAAACAGCAGACGGATGGCAGGACCGAGTCCATCGAGCCTTACTTCAGAGGCAAGCAGGAAGTCGTACTTCAATCCTACTCGATCCCTTCGACCCTCGATACCTTGCTACAAAAATACAAGAATCGTTAGAATGATGGACGCACAGGGGCTCCGGGTGGGTGGTGGGAAGTATGAACACCATCTATTTGGATATAGCGAACTACGTACCATTCAAAGGCGGAACGTACCTAGACTTGCCACCTTACTACAGAAATAAAAAAGCCATTAATAACATTAAAAATAAAGACGATGCTTGTGCAGTATATTCGGTTAGAGCTGGCTTATTTCCAGTAGCTATTAATAAGAATAGACCTTCGAGCTATCCCAAAGACGACGGGCTTAACTGGGATGGCTTAGTTAAACCCACACCCATTTCCTACTGGACCCGATTTGAAAAACTAAACCATTTAGCCATCAACGTCTTCGGTCACGAAGGCAATACGACCATCGTACACCGAATCAGCTCCATGCCCGATGATGTGCGCAGAATCAATGTAATTATGACCGAAAAGGAGGGTAAGTATCACTAAACACATTGAAAGTCTGAGCAGACTGTTGTACGATCAATCGACGCATAGAGAAAAGAAACATTTCTGCGAACGATGTCTGCACGGCTTCACGTGAGCCAACCTGCTGGAAGCACACCGGGAGGATTGCTGAGGCGTGGGAGAGACGGCGATCCGAATCAACATGCCTCGAGAACATGAAAACATCTTAAAATTCATCAACCACAAACATCAAACGTCCGTGCCTTACGTCATTTACGCCGACTTCTTAGGGCTCATCAAGCGGGTCGACCACATCGCGCCATCCCCGGAAAAAAGTTTTACGTACAAAACGCAAGAACACCAAGCCTGCAGTTCCGGGTGCATGGTCGTTCGATGTGAAGGTGAAATGGAGACTCCCCTGATCTAGCCAGGTCCCGATGCAGCTGAAACGTTTCTCACGTTCTTACAACGCGAAGAGAAAAAATCAAGGAAGCTTTCTCGGACCTTGCCTCCATGGATATGATGCCGGAGGATAAACTTGCTCACGAAAAGGCTCAGCGTTGCCACGTGTGCGACCAACCCCTGAACGAGGATGTTGTGAGAGATCATTGTCACATCACCGGCCGGTACCAAGGTGCCGCTCAGAATGCGTACAACTTAAAACTTAGAATTGATCCCCACAAAATCAACATCCGCATGGTCTTCCACAATTTGAGAGGGTACGATACTCACTTGATCATGTAGGCCATCTCGAACATCGATGGCGATATCAAGTGCATCCCCAACAACATGGAAAAATACGTTTATCGATAGCACTGAGTTCCTCCTGTCGTTGCTCGACAGTTTGGTCAAGGCCAACGATACCTTCACCATCACCCATCGACACACTGATGAGGCGACTCGACCTCTGCTGCTCGAAAAGGGCGTGTACCCGTATGAGTACATGGACGATTGGTCTAAGTTCGACGAGACCCGATTACCTCCCATCGACCGATTTTACAGCAACTTAACCGAATCCCATATCTCCCAGGATGATTACGACCACGGTTTAAACATGTGGAACAAACTGGGTTGTGAGAATCTAGGCAACTACCACGACCTGTACTTGGAAACAGACATGCTACTGCTTGCCGACGTGTTCGAGACAGTCAGAACGACGTGTTTGAAACTGTATCAACTCGACCCTGCCTGGTATTACACCAGCCCCAGTCTCTCGTGGGATGCCGTCTTGAAAAAAACCCAGAGTCAAACTGGAATTGCTCACGGATTACGACATGCATCTGTTCATCGAGAAAGGCATGCGTGTTGGGATTTCCATGGTCTCCAAACGCTACGCGAAAGCCAACAACAAATACATGGAAGGCTACGACTCGAGCAGCCCACCAATCACCTGCTCTTTCTCGACACCAACAACCCTGTACGGCTGGGCCATGAGCCAGTCTCTACCTACGGGAGGGTTTGAGTGTTTGGACGATGAGGTCGATATCATGAGCATCGCGCCGGATTCGAAAAAAGGCTACATCCTCGAAGTGGATTTGAAGTATCCCGCGGCATTGCATGCTGCTCACAACAGCTATCCGCTGGCTCCTGAACGGTTGACGGTGAACCGAGACTGGATGTCGACTAACAACACCCGTTGCTCGGAAAATATAAGCTGGCCAAAGTAGAAAAACTCGTTCCGAACTTGATGCACAAGACCATGTACGTGGTGCACTGTTGGAATCTGCAGCTGTACTTGTCGCTGGGTATGAAGCTGACTATAAATACATCGGGTGCTCAAATTTGATCAAAGTCCCTGGATGGAACCTCGCTGAGAAAAAAGGCCCCCAGTGACTTTGAGAAAAACCTCTACAAACTGATGAACAATTCAGTGTTCGGTAAAACCATGGAAAACTTGAGGAAACGCGTCAACGTAAAACTCGTGCGATCTCACGAGGAACAAAAACTCAGGAAACTCAGAGCCAGCCCGGCCTTCAACCTTAGCAAGCTATTCGATAATGACTTGGCAGCGCTACACATGAACAAAAGCCACATGAAGCTCAACCAACCCGTCTACGTGGGGATGAGCATTGTCGACTTGTCCAAACATCTCATGTACGATTTCTACTACAACGAGTTAAAAAATCAATATGGCGATCGACGTGAAGTGATGAAAACGGACACGGATTCACTGCTCATGGAAATTCGTACTGAGGACGTAAACGAGGACATGGCGAAACACAGCCACTTGTAAAATACCAGCAATTACCCCCCAAAAACGTCCTACACAGCACGACCAGTAAAAAGGTCCTCGGCAAGATGAAGGACGAATGCACAGGGACACCAATCGTCGAATACGTCGGATTGAGACCCAAGATGTATTCCATCCTGAAAGCCGACAACGGCGAGATCCGAAAGGCGAAAAGGGTCAAGAAATACGTGGTGAAACAACTCATCAAACACACCCTCTTCAAACAGGCTCTCTTCGATAAACGCACGTTCAAACTCCCCATGAACGCATTGAGAAGCGACAAACATAATATCTACGGCATCACCCTCAACAAGACCTCGCTGTTGCCCATGGATACAAAATGATGGATTGCGAATGATGGCATCCACACTTATAGCTAGGGATACCAACAGTAGACCTCGACGCGTTGGGTGTGTCCGAGACCCCCAATAAAGGAAACTCAGCTCTATGCGTCGAGACAATTGAATGAACGATAGCGTGTATACATCATGGAGAAGGTTTACTACAGACCCACTACATAAAGTCGTCACTGAATATTATGGCTACATTTAAATCCAATCCAAACCCCGTTGCTAAGATCGGCCGCCATCTTTGTTTGGCTTAGAAACCACAGTCCTGATCTGAGACCTTAAACCATGACCGCTCATAGCATGAGCGGTCAAACCTCAACACCAACCCAGTGCTGGCGTGACCTTTCATGAACCCTGACCGCTAATGAGACCGTGGTCCACCAGGGTATAATAAACTCGCATGTCTCTGAGCCGGCTGATACGCTGCACATACAAAAGTCAAGCCATCTGATGGCCAACTATGAATGTCTTTATTGTGTTTTGATGGGCATCATTGAAATGACTGTGTGCACCTGTCTCTGCGATATACTGTGTGCACCTGAAGATAGGAGAATGTCTCTCAGTGAGGGACAGGTACACACACTGTCACATTTAACAACAATAACAGTACAGTTTGGCCAACCATAGCAACATTACATGAATATTACAAACACTACATCAATGCACAGTATGTGACTGTACCAAACTCATGTGCCAATTATGACTTTACATATTAAAATGGAAAACTGTCATGGCCGACGCTAACAAGCACATGGCCATTGTTAAGTTTATAAATTGACCAGACATATAAATGTTAATTTAAATTAAAATATGTTCTAGTTTATAGTTAATAGTTGATAATTGTAATAAATGTTTAACATGTTTAATAAATTTAGTAAACCTATGCCTAACTTATCTCCAACTGAAACTGTGAAACGTTGACTCACCTGCATATAGAAGGAGAAAGTCTCTCAGTGAGGGACAGGTACATACACTGAGGAACAATCAACAGGTGAGCAACAAGAAAACTATGGCAAACCAATAGGGCCAATCACAGCCAAGAAGAGAATTGTTTGGCATAAGAAACCAATCAGTGGCAGGTAAGTGGCAATAAGGTGAGTCTACTTATAGAAAAGAAGAATTGAAGTGAATTGGGATGATTCCCAATTCAGAAAAAGAAGAGGGTGAAAATTAGAAGAACCGAGGAACCAAGATGGTGACCAGTGTTAGTAAACAATCAAGACCAGACAATGACATGACATGACATGACTGCTATTACAGCACCCATGCTATTACAGCACCCACATGGCACTTCAGGTAATTTTAATATTTTATAAAAAAATATGTGACATCTGTTTGTTTTGGTTTATTTATACAAATTATGATTTTTTTGGTAAAACCACAGAGTAAATTTTTTAATAAAATAAAATATGAACTGACATATGCCCAAACTATGTACAAAATACCACACTTTTCTTGTTTTAGCAGTAAAGAAATATCACACGGCTACAGAGCTGAATCTGTTCATCAACAGTCATACCAACTTATAAATAAAGGTAAGTGTGTTTTATAGAAATAATGATAATAAGAGAGGCTTTCTTGATACATCACTAGTCACACCTAAATGGAAGGTATAGTGATGTATGGCAGATAGTATTTACCAGTCTATTATAATCATCAAGCACTCACAACATCTTATTATGTTGGCGACGAATAGTGTAAAACTAGGAGAAGTAAGGTGCACCAATGCTGTTTTACGCACTTTATAAGCGTACTGACAGCTATTCCTATGGTATTATATATATCTTGCCATGTCATTGTAGCAGTGTGAGAGGTACTATTTTCAACTGCCATTAGCTGTGAGATTTATCATTTGAGTTTGAGACCAGTTAGGTTTGAATTGTAGATGGCTTCACCAATGTTAACAGTTCGATTGTATTAACATTCCACTAATATGCATGTGATAAAGATAAGAGTATTATGTTAGCAGTTAATTGTGTCAAACCTCAATGGCTGAGTATTATCAACCAATGTTCTTTTACCCTCTATAAGCCTAATGGCACTTTTTCCTATGGCATTGTAGGTGTCTTGCTATCTTATTGTAACTTTGTGAGAGGTATTATGCTCAACTTATACCAACTGGAACCGTCAGCACTAGCATGTAATATAGACACCATGCATGTATTTAAATTATATCTTACAATTCAGGTGAGCTACAGAGACCCCTGGCTTTATTTTGTTGACGACTTAGGTTTTGAAAGCTCTGTGGTAACAGGAATAGTCAGAATTATGAAAAGCCTTGTGAGGAACAAGTTTCTAAACACTCAAATGGGGTTATCCAGGGAAACTTTGATGAAATCGTACAACAACTGTACACTGGGTACCTGTAGTTAACTTACCTGTCTGTTATGAGGGAGGGGGCGGGAAGGGGGCTGCATGATAAAGTCATGGACAGACTCTACTGTGGTGAGTGGTGGTGAAATAGAGATTGTCCGACTGAACGTTACACACTGATTCCTGTGCAGTGTTTATGTGTTTATAGACAAACTTAAACTACATTATGTGTGGTGTATCATTTTAACAATGGGAGTATTCATATGACTTTTGTTTGTGTCCTTTGAGATCCAACTCTGACCTGTTTGTTCCCTTCGTAGATACAAAGTCTCTAGCACAACACATTGTGGGATGTTGTCAGCAACAGCAGGGAGAAGTATCAGCAGCACCACAGCAACAACAGCAACTCCAACCAGGGTCAGGTGGTGATGGTGATGAAAGAACGGTTCAGGCACACCTGTTCACAAGTACAACCTGTGTACTTCCTGGAACAACAAGTCCGCAGGTTCCGGGAACAGAAGCCTTGACACCAGAGTCCTCAAGTACATCTTGCGTAGTTCCTGAAACAACAAGTTTACAGGTTCCGGGAACAGAAGCCTTGACACCAGCACCAGGTTCCGGGACACCAGTGCCCACATCGTCTCTTCTGCCCAGAGTACCAGGATCTCTTGTATCACAGATACAGTCATCTGGGCTGCATCCAGTACCAGTCAGTGGGAATTCTCCTGCAGGTGGGTGGTTTTACTCTATATTGTTGACCTCTTTAAGATCAGCTATCATGTCATTCTTAATTATATAAAGGCGTGTGGCAGCTTTACTACTTTATAAACGCTTAGAAACTTAGCAAACCTTTATGACGGGCAAGGTGTAAATGGACCCAGTTGCCCGAACACCTATAAAACATTTAATTATCCATCTGTCTCTGAGCTATCATCACATCTCACCAACCATTAGAACCCAACTTCTCAGCAGAAAAACCCTTGAAGATTCGGGTTAGAATTGATCTTCAGTAACCCATGCTTGTTTAAAGAGGCGACTAACAGGATCGGTGGTCAGGCTCGCTGGTTTGGTTGACACATTGTTTCCCAATTGTGAAGGTCGATGCTCATGATGTTGATCAGTAGATTGTCTGGTCCAGACACGATTATTTACAGACAGCCGCTATATAACTGGAATATTGCTGAGTGCGGCATTAAACAACAACCAACCAATGTTATTCATTTCAGTCTCCAATGTCAAAACCTAAACAACAAACCACCAACTTAGCAGATAAGATCATATCATTTACATTTACCAATACCTCATGTTTTGTCAATTCCCAATATCTCCTACTTTTTCAGTCATAATATACCTTCAGCTGTGAAGCTATGGTTTCTATGTCACAGTGTTTGGCAGGGTGCCTTTGACCTCAACACAAGTCTTTATCAAGCTCTGTTCAATTTATGAACTGACTTCATTCGGCAGCCACATTTTATAGTTTGGCATGAAATGCATGTGGACCCGGCTTTTTGTAAATATCACTTCATCCAATGATCCATTCGATCTCAAACTGTGCAAGTGGATGTTTTTCCAGACAACCTAATCACATTGTAAATCACCGATTTTATGCATTTGTATTAAAGAATCTGTCTATGTAACTGTCAACCAAATAAACAGCAGAACGCAGACTGCTGGCAGAGGGAGGGAGCCAATGACCTGTAACAGCGGTAGTGTTGGGTCATAAAGGTAAATGCACATGCAGTTCATGATAGTTACCTGTGCACTGCACAGTGATAGAGCGTTTGGATCATTCACATTGACTACTTCTAGCTGTCATCATGAAAGCTTATTCAGATGATGCTAAACGTTTAATTAGAAATGTGTTTAATTATTTTTAAAAAAAGAGCAAACATAGGAAACCGATTTATAAGATGTCAGATTACATGAAACATACAACTTTTGCTCTTGGCATTAAAAAGAAAATCGTGCTAAAAATTGTGCAAAAATATACCAACAACCAATAAACAAAACCTTGTACAAAAGGGAGGCATCCAAAGTTAGATTCTTTTGACATCAGGGTCATATTTGCTAGAAATGAACACCTGTCCACAAGAAAGTTAAAACACATCCTTGCAGAGGATCACAAGACATTAATGTGTTTCTAGGTTTATGCTAACCAAACTACTGTTCAAATTTGGATACAAGTACAAGAAGGTAGCAAACCAGAAACTTGTAATGTGTGAGGGGTCTGATATTGTGAAATAAGGTGTAATTCTGAGAGAAATTAAGCAGGCAAGAGAGGATGGGTTCGAACCTATATATCTGGATGAGACCTGGGTCAATGCAAACCATACTGCTGCCAGACAGTGGTTACCCACTGATCCCAGTGATGGTAGAAAAATACCAACAGGCAAAGGTAAACATTTAATCGTTCTTCATGCTGGTTCCCACCGAGGATTCCTACCTGGTTCTAGATCAAAACAATAGGTGCCCAACTTCCAGTATAAGGAAGTCAGATATGCAGCAATGGCTAACAAATAGCAATATACAATTTTCAATTAAGGCCACTAAACCACAGTTGTACTCTTGATTAAACCTAACAAACCTCCTCCCACATATAACATTGACAACATGCTACGCCAACTCAGCCATAAGGTCTTGAGATTACCACCGTACCACTGTGATCTCAACCCAATCGAACTTATCTGGGGAGATCTTAAAAGTACAGTGGCCCGGAAAAATCAATCGTTCAAGTTGAATGATGTCAAGCACATTGTCAACACTGCTATATGTGACATTGACATTGTACGCTGGCATGCATGTGTTGAACATGTCAAGAAGGTGGAGAAAGAGTACTGGCTCAAAGATGGGCTTGAAGGAGCAAACAGTTAATCCTGTTGTCATTCTTCTGGACAGAATGGAGAGAACTTGCTGAAGTTTAATTCTGTTATTATATTTACAGATAATAATAGTATCCAGCCAGATATGCTCAAAGAAATATAACTTCTTTTAACAATGACAGTACGGACTAATTCCAACGACTTATAGTGTAACATGAAACACTCATTTCACATTAAATTATCATGAAAATATAAATAATAACTATCTATATGCTTAAAGCTATTGGAAATGCATTGCTTAATTTGGAATGTGAACGACATCAAAACATAACACTCCGTATGATGGTTAACAGTGGGCACCCACTTTACCCTATTCACGACCTGTGCCACCTCTTCATACCTGTCACGTGCATAGCTGCCCTACATTGACGAACGTTGACCTTTATGACCCAACACTGACGCGGTTACAGGTCATTGGCTCCCTCCCTCTGCCAGCAGTCTGCGTTCTGCTGTTTATTTGGTTGACAGTTACATAGACAGATTCTTTAATACAAATGCATAAAATCGGTGATTTACAATGTGATTAGGTTGTCTGGAAAAACATCCACTTGCACAGTTTGAGATCGAATGGATCATTGGATGAAGAGATATTTACAAAAAACCGGGTCCACATGCATTTCATGACAAACTATAGAAACAAATGCTGATGATATGTTTTCAGATTCACTAGAAATATTGAACACATCTATGAAACCTTCAGTCAAATGGCTTTTGTTACAGTAACACTATGAAGCTTTATGAAAGAGAGCAACATTTTGGAGATGTGACCATGGCAGTGTGTTTGACCTCAGCATAAATCTTTTTTTAAGCTCAGTTTTATCTATGCCATTTATATTTGGCAAACACGTTTCAGAAAACTATCATAACTAATACGAAGTGTTTTTGTCTGCTGGTGTTATCACCTGTTTTCAGAATCACTAGCAGAATCTAAGTTGAAATATGGATCACGTCTATGTAAGCTTCAGTCATGTGGTTTCTGTTACAGTCACACAGTACAACCTTATCCAAGTACGGCAGCAGTTTGGTGATGTGACAGTGAAGGGAGGCAAGAATCTGAACATTGGCGGAACTCAGAATGTCGGTACAGCTCCAACCAAACAGGAAGAAGAGGAGATACCACTGACTGCAGCACAGAAGATCAGGAGTGAGATATTTGATAATGTTTTCCCAATGATTGTCCATGTGGTGGTAATGTACGATTAAACCAGACTGATATAGTCTATGTACTAAACCATCAGGTTGCTCACCTTGCACGGAGGCCACAGACGCGTGGATGTCGTCAAACTGTTATCACAGATGCTCCTGTATAACCAGGTATCGAGACAAACTAAATTTGATGCTGGCTGGGCTCCGTGTCGGACGTGCACGGTTCAACTTCATCGGTCTTGACGTGGTGTTGATACTGGTGGGCGGCTTCAACAGGGGCAGTCTATAACTTGATTGTTTTGCTGAAAACTTCATGAATCGACGAGGAACGTCACGCTGCTCTATCTTTATCTCTCTATCTGTCACTTTCCCCGAGGCGTGCCTTTGTTATGCTTCAGTTTAGTGAGATATTCTCAATTTGATGGGTGATCCAACTGATTTTTGGTCACGTCTTGTTACTGACACTACCTTGCACATGACACCAGACTTTTGTTTATTCTTTATGCAATTTTGTCTTCTGCTATTTCAGCAGATGCCCACAATTTGTGGTACCTATTTAAGAACCTTAACAAAATTTGAGTAACTTTTATATGGGCCGGTAGGGTAACCTATTGGTAAAGGTGTTTGTTTGTCCAGGCGAAGACCCGGGTTTGATTCCCGATATGGGAACAATATGTGAAGCCCTTTTCTAGAGTAAAATGTTCAAATCTTAAGTTTGTTCACTTATATATAAATGTGTTAAATGTGCCTTGTTTCCACAGAAAGGACGACATCCAGGATACAGTTGTGGACTAAAGACATGGTGGAGACAGACGCCCTCAAGAAAGTGAAAGAGAAGCTACACAGAGGTGCAACATGGGTGACAATTACAGGAAGACCGGGAGAGGGGAAGTCCACAACCGCCTACATGGCTCTCAAAGACCTACACAGTCAGGGGAGACAAGTATACCAAGTGGTGTCACCAGAAGAGTTCACTGAGGTCATAATGGCCTGCTCTAACCCTGTCATTCTGTTAGATGACATATTTGGTGATCTCGAATTCGACGCTGCAGAATGGACCAAATGGAGACCAAGTCTACGACCTATTGTGGATGTGAAACATCCTGACAAATATGCTGAAAAAGATTCTTTGGACTTTTCGACCAAAACTGAAAAGGTTTCAGAGAAGACAAAAGGTGATCAAACACAGGTGAAACAAACAAGTCCAAACAAAGACAAAACTATCATAATTCTCATAGGCCGGGACTATGTGCTGAAATCCTCATTGGCAGACTTGGGAAGGATGGCAGATTACATTTCCAGTCCCCAATACGTGGTGGAAGTTTCCTCACAGAGAGACTCTTATGAGCGGAGGAAGATATGGCGTGTTCATGCTGAAACAAAAAACATAAACTTTAAAGAGTCAGTTGTGTCACAGATATGCGAGGTAGACTGTCCACATGGCTTCCCCCATGTATGTAAAATGTTTGTCGCAGCATATGAAAAGGATTGGACTCAAATTCGCCCAGAGGCTTTTTTTCAAGCGCCTATTGCTTTCCTCAACCAAACTTTGAATAAACTTATGAAAGATGAGGAAAAGCATTCACTGTTCATGGCAATGATTCAAAAAGATGGGGAGATTAGTGGACAAGAAATGGAGGCGGATGATAACCTCGGTTATAAACACAAAGACGTTGCTGACGATTTGGTTGGATCTTACCTCAAGAAGGAGGATGACACCTACATGTTTGATCATCCTTCTATTTATGACAGTGTTTCCTTTATTCTCAGTACAAAACAATTGAAGTTTGTTATTGAAAAATGTAGTTTGTCCTTTATAAATCAGCGACTTCGTCTTGCACCCCCTAGAGGGAGAGAGGAAAACGTCGCTGGTGAGGCAGGTCTTGTTGCAAGCATCCCATGGACATATGCTGGACATTTAGCCAGAAGATTTGCAAGTGAAATACACAGGAGGAATTTGTTGCATGTTTTATCCCACCAAGCATGTTGTAATTCAGACTTTGTTCACTTGCTAATGGACTGCCTGAAGACACAGTTTCACATGTATGCATTTGACATTGTGAAACTAACTGATAAGTCATCCAAACAGTCATTTTGTGAATTACTTCCCAGCAACAAATCACATCATCTCATGAAATATATTATGGAGAAAGAAAATATATCATTCAGCCAGGATGAAGGGAGGGACATTTTGTTGGGTGTGTGCATGAATGCTGCGTGCAGTGTACTGAAATACATCAGTGGACATATGGAACTTGATTTAAATGCTACATACGGTTGGAAGGAAACGACGCCGATTATGTTAGCAGCAGAAACCAGAGACAGCGTGTTTGTTAATCAGATTTTGTCTCTTGACCCTGACCTGAATGCAAGAGACGGGTTTGGTAAAAGCGTGTTTCATTATCTTTGTAAAAATGGCCTTACATTAGCCGTAAAGAATGTGCTTGACAAGGGAGTGGACGTTAATGAGGATCAAGGATCACGCTGGAAACACCCTCTATACATTGCCATAAAGAAAGGTCACGTAGAGGTGGTGAAACTGTTGGTTAACAGAGGATGTGATGTAGATAACAAGAAAGGTCTTAGATGTGCTGTTAGTAGCCTAAACGTGGACATGGTGCTGTTCTTTTTAAACAGAAGAGTACAGGTTGACAGTACTGTTGTGTGCAGAGCTTGTGAAGCTGGGGAGTTGAACATAGTTGAGAAGCTATTTGAGAAGGGTGCTACTGTTAATATGGTGTCATATTATGGATATACTCCACTTCACAGCGCATGTAAAGGAAATCCTACTGTTGTTGCATATTTGCTGAAAAAAGGAGCAAGTGTCTATCAAGCTTCAAATGTTAGAGGTGACACACCCCTTCATAAAGCAGCAGGATGTGGATCTACAAAGTGTGCTGACGTGTTACTGAAAGCTGGAGCTGATGTTAATGTTCAGAATATAAGAGGTGACACACCACTTCATAAAGCAGTAGGATGTGGATCTACAAAGTGTGCTGACGTGTTACTGAAGGCAGGAGCTGATGTTAATGTACAGAATGATACAGGTGACACACCACTTCATAAAGCAGCAGGATGTGGATCTACAAAGTGTGTTGACTTGGCTTCCCCCATGTTACTGTTACTGAAGGCTGGAGCTGATGTTAATCTACAGAATAATACAGGTGACACACCACTTCATGAAGCAGCAGAACGTGGATCTACAAAGTGTGTTGACGTGTTACTGAAGGCTGGAGCTGATGTTAATGTACAGAATGATACAGGTGACACACCACTTCATATAGCAGCAAGGAGGGGATCTACAGAGTGTGTTGTGTTACTGAAGGCTGGAGCTGATGTTAATGTACAGAATGATACAGGTGACACACCACTTCATAAAGCAGCAGAACGTGGATCTACAAAGTGTGTTGACGTGTTACTGAAGGCTGGAGCTGATGTTAATGTACAGAATGATAGAGGTGACACACCACTTCATATAGCAGCAAGGAGGGGATCTACAGAGTGTGTTGTGTTACTGAAGGCTGGAGCTGATGTTAATGTACAGAATGATACAGGTGACACACCACTTCATGAAGCAGCAGAACGTGGATCTACAAAGTGTGTTGACGTGTTACTGAAGGCTGGAGCTGATGTTAATGTACAGAATGATAGAGGTGACACACCACTTCATAAAGCAGCAGGATGTAGACATACAAAGTGTGTTGACGTGTTACTGAAGGCTGGAGCTGATGTTAATGTACAGAATAATACAGGTGACACACCACTTCATAAAGCAGCAGCAGTATGGTGGGAATCTACAAAGTGTGTTGATGTGTTACTGAAGGCTGGGGCTGATGTTAATGTACAGAATAATACAGGTGACACACCACTTCATAAAACAGCAAGGAGGGGATCTACAGAGTGTGTTGATGTGTTACTGAAGGCTGGAGCTGATGTTAATGTACAGAATAATACAGGTGACACAGCACTTCATATAGCAGCAAGGAGGGGATCTACAGAGTTAGTTGATGTGTTACTGAAGGCTGGGGCTGATGTCCATGTACAGAATAATACAGGTGACACACCACTTCCTATAGCAGCAGGAGTGGGATCTACAAAGAATGTTGATGTGTTCCTGAAGGCTGGAGCTGATGTCCATGTACAGAATAATACAGGTGACACACCACTTCATATAGCAGCAGCAGGATGGGGATCTACAGAGTGTGTTGACGTGTTACTGAAGGCTGGAGCTGATGTTAATGTACAGAATGATACAGGTGACACACCATTTCCTATAGCAGCAGGAGAGGGATCTACAGAGTGTGTTGACGTGTTACTGAAGGCTGGAGCTGATGTTAATGTACAGAATAATACAGGTGACACAGCACTTCACATAGCAGCAGCAGGAGGGGGATCTACAGAGTTAGTTGATGTGTTACTGAAGGCTGGAGCTGATGCGAATGTACAGAATAATACAGGTGACACACCACTTCATATAGCAGCAAGAATGGGATCTACAAATTGTGTTGATGTATTACTGCAGGCTGGAGCTGATGTCCATGTACAGAATGATACAGGTGACACAGCACTTCATACAGCAGCAAGAATGGGATCTACAGAGTGTGTTGACGTGTTACTGAAGTCTGGAGCTGATGTTCATGTACAGAATCATAGAGGTGACACAGCACTTCGTGAAGCAGCAGGAGGGGGATCTACAGAGTGTGTTGATGTGTTACTGAAGGCTGGAGCTGATGTTAATGTTCAGAATAATACAGGTGACACACCACTTTATACAGCAGTATCAACGAGACGGGGATCTACAAAGTGTGTTGATGTGTTACTGAAGGCTGGAGCTGATGTTAATGTACAGAATAATAGAGGTGACACACCACTTCATAAAGCAGCAGGAGCATGGTGGGGACCTGCAGACTGTGTTGATGTGTTACTAAAGGCTGGAGCTGATGTTAATGTACAGAATAATACAGGTGACACACCACTTCATGAAGCAGCAGGAGTGAGATCTACAGAGTGTGTTGATGTGTTACTGAAGGCTGGAGCTGATGTTAATGTACAGAATAATAGAGGTGACACACCACTTAATGAAGCAGCAGGAGGGGGATCTACAGAGTGTGTTGATGTGTTACTGAAGGCTGGAGCTGATGTTAATGTACAGAATAATGCAGGTGACAAACCACTTCATCGAGCAGCATGGTGGGGATCTACAGAGTCAGTTGATGCGTTCCTGAAGGCTGGAGCTGATGTCCATGTACAGAATAATACAGGTGACACACCACTTCATAAAGCAACAGCAGGAGAGGGATCTGCAAAGTGTGTTGACGTGTTACTGAAGGCTGGAGCTGATGTTAATGTTCAGAATAATACAGGTGACACACCACTTCATGAAGCAGCAGCAGCGTGGCGATCTACAGAGAATGTTGATGTGTTACTGAAGGCTGGAGCTGATGTCCATGTTCAGAATAATACAGGTGACACACCACTTCATAAAGCAGCAGCAGCAGTATGGAGGGGATCTACAAAGTGTGTTGATGTGTTGCTGAAGGCTGGAGCTGATGTTAATGTACAGAATAATACAGGTGACACACCACTTCATACAGCAGCAGGAGGGGGATCTACAGAGTGTGTTGATGTGTTGCTGAAGGCTGGGGCTAATGTCCATGTACAGAATAATACAGGACAGAAACCACTGCACTAGTTGCAAGTCTTATCAATGTAGATTCAATAGACATTTGTTGATTTAATTGATCAGTGCAGGAAAGGTTACTAGATATATGTCACTTTGTTACTGTTTATGTGACGAGTTAAAAATAGAACGAAGGCAAGAACATTATAGCTTCTGTTCTTTAGGATTGAAAGTGGAAACTGACAGTACTGTCGGAACTAGAAAAAAATCAGAGATTATTGCAAAAATGAGCAAAGCAGTGTTTTTTTGTAAGTCCAAAGCGACTTAGTTGGAACAGACCATGGCTTTATGCAAATTAGTGTAATAATTCCAGATATTGTATTAAAAAGGACACTTTTTAAATGCCCATTTTGAAATTAGACTCATTATAACGATTGCTGACGTAAAAAATAATAACTTAAAGGTCACATGCAACCAAAAAATCAAACATAATTAAAACACAATTATCACTTATTTATGACATGTAATATACATTGCTGGTTATGAAAAAACATATAAACAAAATTATAAGCCTACAATGAAAAGTGCAATATTTTGTACTTGGGTTTACTTCCCAAGAAACGAAGCAGCTAGGATACCGAACCCAGTCAGAGCGGGTGGGTGTGTGCACTCATTTGTAATGGCTGGTTCATCTGCAGATGCCCTCACGGCTCATTGTGTGTGTATATATAGAGATGTTGGGTTTTGTAAATACATGCTCGTTTTTTGTGTATAACATTTTGCAATCAACAGACATCATAACATGTCATGTATACAAGTATCATACCTGCCTGTCTGTGTAATTACATAATGTGGCAGAGACCGAACTCGGGCCATAAATCAATGCGTATTGTTTATGGTGTATAGGCTGATAGGTGTTAAGTTCAAATTGCATGTGGTCAGTGATCGAATTTGTGTATTGAATATTTTCATTTGCAGATGGGCAGGCAGACATATAGGTGTTAATAAAAACAGATATTGAGTTTTGTCTGTGACAACGACATATCTATATCACAGTTAGAAATTCTGTCAACGCCAAATAATGACATTGCTTTTAAGTATCGAACTGAGAAAGTAACTCGGTAAGAAATACGGGTGATGAAATAGACAAATGAAATTATATAAACAGTTAAATCGGTAATCTACTGTAATAACATATAAAAAGCTCGCGCCTGTGAAATATCAACAAAACGTTAGAAAAATAGCTCACACCAAAGCCTTCACCGAGTATTCACCAGGACAACCCGCTTCCAAGCTGCGCGAGCATATACTGTATATTTCACTGCGCATGTGCTATGAGCGCAGCCCAGCTGTTGAAACCACTTCAATTACCCCAAGCGCTGGGGGAAAATTAGTGAATCGTTTGAACTACGATTTCGCGCGGGTTTTTTCATCACGTTATTTTTCAACTTTATAAGTTGAAATTGCATTTTTGATGATTTGTTTCGGTAAGTCCATACCGAAACGTATCACAATCTGCAAAGTTGTGTTTTACGTTGCATGTGACCTTTAAATACTGAAACTATTAAGGATGTAGCTAACATGGAGTCTCACTAACACTATAAAAACAGATGGGTGTCGCAGACAGTGGTTGGGCTCATCCTGGAGGATAGAGATATCAGCTAAGAAAAGATAATCCTTTAGGGGAATTAAACTGGGGAAGTAAACGGCATGTCATAACAATTTACAAATATTATCCTGTCCTGTTGATCTTCGGCTGGTCATGCCACCAATATATTTTGAGACATTGAATACGATGACTGATTTAAGCTTTTCTATGGGTATCATACTCTTTACATATTTCAACATTAAGTTTATGATAGAAAGACACGTAAGATGTAACTCAACAGATGAGACATATTCAACACACATGAACAAGCATGAAATATCTTTGAGATGACCCATTGTGCCTGCACGCATCACATGCATTTCATGTCCGGTGAGTCGTCGTCATACCTGGCTGAGCGACCTAACTGTCACCTATAGTGTGATCTATTGTTTTGCCGATTTTATAGATAAACATGTTTTTATGGATATCCTATTGCGCATCCCACTGAACGCTAGTTAGGCTGATGTGGGTTTTTGCAATTTGCAATCGTGAAAATTATAGGGATACAGAGTAACAGCATAAACAGTTTTTTTCCCTATTTCCGACAGTACTTTAATACAGGTTTTGTATTGCCAAAGAATCCACATTGAAATTCTTCAGTGGAAGCGTCCACCATGAAAAATAGCACTAAACTCTGTGTAGTTCGTATTTTCTTTGTGTTGACAGTCTTTAACCCCACCATTGTCAAACTGCATTACCCATAAATTCATGTACAGAGAATTTTATCGGAGCATGTGAGTCATACTGATTTTACAAGACATGTGTCAGTGTTTCCTGAGCAAGCACAATTACAATATTTCCCTGGTTGCTGAGTATTTCCTAGTCCTTTTTTGTGATTCCTTTTGGATAAATGTTCTGATCATGACCGAACACATCAAATGTCGATGTATATATCAACAATTTGTGCTATGACATTATTCCAATCTTACACTTTCTAAAGAATGAACAATGTCATCGGGATGAGGCAAATAATACCTTAACATGGACTTAGAGCTAAGCTTGTTTTATACAACAGCGCCATGGTCTTTAATGATCTTTGGTATTTCTGACTCTGTGAGGAGTAAATGCTTGTACGACCTAATTTTGTCTATAATCACATAGTATTTCCTTTGCTTATTAATTATCAAGTTGATATATATATGAATTATATGTTTGTATTTATACATTCTGGATCAATATTATATTACCTAATGATTGTTAGGGTGGTATTGCCACACAAATTGTAATATCTGGAACTCAAATATATATTCAATCTGTTATTTGCCACAGAGGTCCATTGTTACATGTGATTAGTTGCAGACAATCACAATCAAGTGCTATTTTGACATGAACGTCCGGCGTTATGTATGTATGTATGTATGTATGTATGTATGTATGTATGTATGTATGTATGTATGTATGTATGTATGTATGTATGTATGTATGTATGTATGTATGTATGTATGTGTGTGTGTGTGTGTGTGTGTGTGTGTGTGTGTGTGTGTATGTATGTATGTATGTATGTATGTGTGTGTGTGTGTGTGTGTGTGTGTAAACATCTGGCATTATGTATGTGTGTGTGTGTAGTGTTGTACATTGTGTGTGCTTGGTGGTGTGTGTGTGTGTGTGTGTGTATATATATATATATATATATATATATACATATATGTTTTGTATTTATACATTCTGGATCAATATTATATTACAAATATTGACTATGAACGAGAGACCGTAAATAATTCGTTTTTACATGCAGAAGGAATGGTCTGATATGCAACTGTTTTATTGTTTTATTGTGTTTGGACAATTGAAATCGTGCATATATGCACATAAGGCTGCATTCATGATACAATACCATGAAATAATTCGATTGAACATTTCACAGTCATTGATACTTGATATAAAATCTGAATGCAGCAGTTGTAGTTCTATACTTGCAAGGTCTTAGTTCACCGTCGCTTTATCCTACGTTTGAATGACACAGCTATCTTAAAGATCACATATACTCTAGGGGGGTACAAATACATAAATCACTAATTGGCATCGTTATAAATGAATCCCTGTCATTAAAACTACTCATTTCGATCTTTAATTGACTTAAATCGACCTTTTTGACAACAGTGCACAATTCTCACCCGCAAACGAAATTTCAACCAATCAGAGCGGCGCGTGTCTGTGACGTGATATGAGGAATAGATATGAGGGCCGATGCAGAATTCATGTACATATCAGGGGGTAAATTAACTTGTTTACAGGTTTGTATAAACCTGACATCATGACAACTGTTGTGGAAAATGAAAGCTATATGTTCTCACAATCTACTGTCATTTAATTTTGTCTCCTGCTTTGCCTAGTTTCCGAGTTACAACCAAAATTTCATAGACGATGATTCCCTCTAAATCGCTTGGTATGGCTAGGCTGTATTTGTTCGAGCCAGACGCTAGTGATAGCAGTCGGCAGCCTGTCTATCTCCGAATTCAATAAGAACATTTAGCTAGAACTGAGAACTGAGAACATAGCTTATGGATGCAATTAATGTGCTTGTAATTGTTTTGTTATACTTTGTTCATAAATAAAAAACAAACAACTGAAAAAGTGTTTCTTTTTTTTTTTCCTGTTACTTTTTTCTCGATCACCGTATTTCTTATGCAACATTGAAGTTCTGTTCGTATTCTCAAAACTGTGTCGGCCCATAAGTTTTCACATGCAATACAGCAATTAATACTCCCTTGTTGTAACCCGTGTAAGGTGGTATAAACCTACACATGTTATTTGTCATCATTAGCTTGATGGTCAGTTAATGAATTTATAACAGGTATAATTAGTGATAACACCACTTAGATTACCCAACGAAGGTTCCCATTTGGCATTTCTTGTGTCTGGAGTAAATACTCAACATTATAAACATCGATCAAAGGATTAATCGATAACACGCTGATTGATTAATTACTTTTATCTTGCACAACGGATTTGTCAAAAGGTAGTGTTTATGTCTGTAGATTTACTAATCTATACTGAATTCACTCTGTCGTGTCTGTGTCTGCGTAAAAACAACGTCCTTCTTTCAAAGGATTAACCGCCAGTACATTGCTTGATTGCTCATTATTGGCTAACTAAATTACATGTTTTTAAAGAATGGCGGACATTATGCAATTAGTTGCCAGGTGTATTATCTTGGGTGACCAATGGGTATCCTCCCATTACCTCTACAGCTTATAACAACAAAGTTCACGGTCCAGTGCAATGCTAATCCCCTTCCTGTTACCTGTTACCTGGACA